CAATTTACCAATTCCATAATTTCCCAATTCCATAACTCTCTAATGCCATAATTTCTCAATTACATAATTTCCTAATTCCATAATTTCCCAATTCCCTATTTCCCCAAATTCTCAATTCTCCAGTTTCTCAATTTTCCAATTCCAATAATTCCCCAATTCCGAAATTTTCAATTACCAAAATTCCCCAATTCCTAAGTTTCCAAATACCAAAACTCCCCGACTCCTAAATCCCCACATACCCAAATCCTCCATTTCCTAACTCCCCACCTTCTAAAATCCCCAACCAATAATTCCCCACCCTCCAACTCCCAAAATTCCAAATATCAAATCTCCCCGTCTCCTAAATCCCCACATACCCAAATCCACCACTTCCCAATTTTCCCACCTTCTAAAATCCCCAACCAATAACTCCCCACCCTTCCAAACCCCCAAATTCCAACACCGCCGAAAGCTCAATAACCCAAAACCCCGACTCCAATTTTTCATTGATCAAATTTTCACCTTGAAGAGTGCGACCCGCAAATAGAACAGCAGTACGCTCGCGTCAGTGTGGTCAGCTGATCACTCTCTTCCTCAACTTTCCCGTAATTCAACCTTCCCAAATATCCCTAATAAACCCTCCATGCATCTGTTCTAAAAAATTCTCATGCTTGAAAGAACTTTCTTATTGTGTCCCAAGACAATTTTAACTTCACTATAAAGAATCGGTATGCGCAAAACGAAAAAAGGACTCTCGAACGATTCCCTTTTTTCCGTGGCAATACAAAGGCTCGCGAACTATGCACCTCAAGTTGGCGAAAAGAGATTAACTCGGACAAAAGCTCACCGGTTTCAGCCTCGAAATAGCAGCGGACGTCGACTCAGCTATCTCGCGTTCCACGGAGCAACGACACTTTTCCTCTTCTTCTTCTTCGAACGCACTTCGGTTTGCGAGTTACAGGAATTTCATCGGACATAAGTTGGTTTAAATAAATAAATAAGTTACACAAGGTTTTTCCATCATCCCTCCATTCAGAGGAACACCGAACCTGACGACGCGCTTTCGACGACTGCACCACGTTGCAAACGCTCCCTTCGAGACGCGACGAAGCTCTCGTTTGTCCAGCAGCCTTTTTTCTCTTTGCCGCTTTCCCCACCTAACTCCATGCTTTTCCCCTACTTCCTTTGGGGTGCAGCTTCTTCCAAACTTTTCTTGACAGTATGTTGCAATGTGTCGATTATGTACTTTATTTAGAAGTTTGTTGTAAAATTGTGTGGTAAAATGTCAGATACATTTTTTATTAACGTGACAAGTATTATATATTTGGGGTGCAAACAACATTGATGCAGCTTCTACAGATTTTTCTTACATAGTCAGTATGTAATCTATCGATCATGTACTTTATTTTACATTTTGTTGTAACAAAAATTGTGTAGTAAAATGTTGAGTAGATTTTTTATTAATTTGATGAATATGTTTGGGGTGCAACTTTGGTGCAGCTTCTTTCAGATTTTTTTTACAAAGACCCTTCAGTATGTAATGTATCCATTATGTACTATATTTAACATTTTGTTGTAACAAAAATTGTGTAGTAAAGTATCAACCAGATATTTTATTAATGTGACAAATATATTTGGATCAGGTTTATGTAATTTAAAAATATTATTTCTTCTTCAGGTTTCACTATCTTAATATTGCAAGTTTCAGCATTTTGTTATATTTTTTTTTATTGTGTCAAGTTTTGGATAAAATTGTAAACTAGAACATTGAAGTAGTGGACAATTTTTATAATTGTATAGTTGTACATAAGTGTAACAGAGTTAGAGTGAAGTAAGAATAAAACAATATAATAGTAAAATAACAAAGTTGTAATAGTGCTATAATAGAACTGCTGAAATAGAGAAAAGAGAAGTAGAACAGTAGAATAAGATAGTGAAATAGCAGAATAGTAGAATAAAACAGAATCAGTACAGAGTTAGTGAAGTATTGAAACAACCACTAAGTGTTAGTAATAGCAATAGTACAATAGAACAACAAAAAACAAAACAACAAAATGATAAATGCCCTAAAACTATAAACTGAATTCGAGTAACTTTTAATCAAACATTCAAAATAGCTTTACATAAAAATTTTCAATTTCAGTATCGCGTGTCTTACTCCTGTCTGCATCTACTGAGGCGCTGTCAGAATAGAAGCGTCCACACGCAGTAAGACCCGCGATACATTTTCGAGAAGATTGTAATTGGGAATCAGAAATCAAACATTTAAATCAAAGCGAAATTCTTGTTTTATTCATCGAGGACGTAATTCAAGTTTAAATTATTTTATGACGCATTATGGAAGATTCTAGCTACTTTTGAGTGAACTTAATTCTAATCTGATGTAGATTTCCTTGGAGAATATCAGCAAATGTGCATGTCAACGAAATTTTGTTTGTTCTTGTACACTGGTCCCCAGGAGCCATACTTCTCGCTTTTGTTCTTCGGCTGCTGTTGTGTCGCTGCTTGGCTCTTCTCTTTCCTGTACATCAAGACAAATAATTGCAATCTTGGAAATTGAATATAGAGGATGTCTCATAATTAGTGGTTCCTGAAATGAGGAGTGACGTGATTCTGAATGGGATGGGGTTTGAAGCAAAATGGCCCCGTATTTCCACGCGGCGTAATTCCACGCGTTATATTTCCTAAGCCTCCTAAGGCCACGCGTCGTAATTCCACGCGGTATATTCTCTACTCCCCCTATTTCCACGCGTTGTAATTTCACGCTTTGTATTCTCTACGCTCCATATTTCCACGCGTTATATTCTCAACTCCCCCCATTTCCACGCGTCGTAATTTCACGCTTTGTATTCTCTACGCCCCGTATTTCCACGCGTTGTAATTCCACGCTTTGTATTCTCTACGCCCCCAATTTCCACGCGTCGTAATTCCACGCTTTGAATTCTCTACGCCCCGTATTTCCACGCGTCGTATCTCCTACGCCCCGTACTTCCACGCGTTGAATATCCACGCGTCATAATCCCACGCGTTATATTCTCTACTCCCCCCATTTCCACGCTTTGTATTCTCTACGCTCCATATTTCCACGCGTCGTATCCCCTACGCCCCGTATTTCCACGCGTTGAATATCCACGCGGCGTAATTCCACGCGTTATATTCCCTACGCCCCCCATTTCCACGCGTTGTATTCTCTACGCCCCCTATTTCCACGCGTTGTAATTCCACGCATTATATTCTCTACTCCTCCCATTTCCACGCGTCGTAATTCCACGCTTTGTATTCTCTACGCCCCGTATTTCCACGCGTCGTATTCCCTGCGCCCCGTATTTCCACGCGTTGAATCTCCACGCGTCATAATCTCACGCGTTATATTCTCTACTCCCCCCATTTCCACGCGTCGTAATTCCACGCTTTGTATTCTCTACGCCCCGTATTTCCACGCGTTGTAATTCCACGCTTTGTATTCTCTACGCCCCCAATTTCCACGCGTCGTAATTCCACGCTTTGAATTCTCTACGCCCCGTATTTCCACGCGTCGTATCTCCTACGCCCCGTACTTCCACGCGTTGAATATCCACGCGTCATAATCCCACGCGTTATATTCTCTACTCCCCCCATTACCACGCTTTGTATTCTCTACGCTCCATATTTCCACGCGTCGTATCCCCTACGCCCCGTATTTCCACGCGTTGAATCTCCACGCGGCGTAATTCCACGCGTTATATTCCCTACGTTCCTATTTCTACGCGTCATATTCCCAACGCCCCGTATTTCCACGCGTTGAATCTCCACGCGGCGTAATTCCACGCGTTATATTCCCTACGCCCCCCATTTCCACGCGTTGTATTCTCTACGCCCCCTATTTCCACGCGTCATAATTCCACGCGTTACATTCTCTACTCCCCCATTTCCACGCGTTGTAATTTCATGCTTTGTATTCTTTACGCCCCGTATTTCCACGCGTAGTATCCCCTACGCTCCGTATTTCCTCGCATTAAATCTCCACGCGGCGTAATTCCACGCGTTATATTCCCCACACCCCCTATTTCCACACGTCATAATCCCACGCGCTATATTCTCTACTCCCATCATTTCCACGTGTCCGTATTTTCCTCAATAATTCAAAAACGAAGCTTCACCCCCCATTTCTGCAAAGGGAAATCTTATTCAAAATCACGTCAGCTACCCCTCATTTCCAGAACCTACACTACTTCTAAGACTAAACACTAAAGTAACCCTAAATAAATATAACCCTCAATATAATAAAATTAACAAAGTTTAATTAAAGTATATACCTGACACCCTCTTGTGCCTTTTTGTTCATAGAACTGTTGATGTTCGTGAAACCCATTTTCTTCTTCCCGATTACAATCCCGTTCAAGCCAATCGAATTCAGTCTTTGAAGCGGACAAATTTTCGGTATACGAAAATGTGTCCGATTTTCCGATCACCTGCAAGAACTAATTAATAAAATTAGTATTGAAACTTGCAATATTATTTCAAGTTAGAAATTTTTTTTTACGGGTCTCTGGGATCGATCCCTCTCTGTAGGATTCGTTTACCGTAAATAGAAACCGTACCCCAGCTTATTTTGTTTGATTATACTCACTCTACGGCACGTGATGCAAATGGACCAGAACCAACAGTTCTAAACGATTTGCGGTGTTTCCTCGTCGACTTCCCTTGCGAGTACTGAGGTTTTTAGCAAGCCTATAATTAAAATGAGTACCGTACTTCTGAATCAAACATTTCTTTTTTAAACTTTGAAGTGATTGCATCTGACTTCAAGTTCTTAAAATATTTGTAAATAGGCCTTGAAACAAAATAACGTTCGGACATTTTCACCCTCGTATCGTAATACAAGAAACAAAAAGTAAAAGCAAGTTGTTCTGCACCGAGAAATTTCAGTGTACGAAAATCATTGATAATTATGCAAGTAAAAGGCAAACAAGTTTCAAGGTGTTCCTCTGCGTGATTCTTAATCAGGGATTAAAATGTTGCAACGGAGTAGATGGTCGAAATGCAAATAGAAACCTGTTTCCACGTACTTACCTAACACTCGGTAAAAATGTCGGGATGTTGCCTTGACAGTCTAAGACTTTGCACCTCATCGACACATAGGTGTTCTTGATATTTCACGAAAAACTATCAGGTTCTCGTCGGCGTTGGCTTGAACGTACGTTCGACGTCTGCTCGATTCGATTGCTTCGGAAAAAATCAAGTCAGAAACGTTTGCACTGTGGTTTTAGAAGGACTACAGGCTCCTCGCAGGTTCTGGCGTCTCTTACATAGTCTCCGGATGTCCCCTTCCTTTTGCCGATTTATATCGAGTGGGGATCGACCACTTCCTCACACTGCTGCAGAATTTCTGATGCGTAATTGTGAAACGGATGGTTTCACTTAATGGGGTTTTTGATTCGAGATTGGTTCCTCGAAAGCTGAGAATACATTTCTGTGACTGGTGTCGCGTATTATACTCTTCAGTTTCAAACTAGATATCTATGTTAAACGAAACTCTTAATATACTGACTTAAATAAAACTTAACGCTGTTGAGAGTTTAATAAAATTTACACAAAATAAAATTATACTCTTTACAATATTATTAGAATTTTTATATTCTCCACATTTAAAACTCTGAGTCGACTTCGACCTTTCACTACGAATTCATCGATGGAAAATTTTCGTATCAGTCGATAGTTGTATTACACCCTAAATCTTAAACTTTGAGTATTTTCCTCCTGACCCAAACATGAAATTATTACACAAAATCTTTCGAGTAACTTGAAATTGAGTCAATTATGCCATCTCGAGATCTTGAACTTGTTTACTCGAATGACCAGTTCATTACTAATGTGCATTAATTATAGAGAATATTAATTCTCAGGAAAGATTTACCCTGTAAAATTTTCCTTAATCGCTTGCATTAAACATGAAACGGTTTCGTTAGAATATCAATGAATTTGATTGGATAAGCAAAGTTGGGACTATAATTCTTTTAGGAAATGTAGATCAGTATTATCATTGAGTCTAAAACAAACGAGGAAAATTTGGAGCCCTCGCTGAACTAACTTTAGGGTGAAGAATGGGACACCTAATGGTCGTAAAGGGCGACGGATCTTGACATAAATCGAGGGGACATCAATCTTTTTGACACCCTGAATGACCTCGACGACCTCGTCATGTACTCGGAAAAAATGATTACAATCATTAAATGAAAGATTTGCAATTTCGCGAAGCAGTCGTTTTCAGTGACCAACCCATCGGTATAAATTATACATTCAGGGGAGAATGAAAAAAATAAACAGGTGAAACATTCAACCAAAGGCAAACTAGAATCTGACGCAACATCGTTCCATACTGGCGTCAGACTGTTGTTTTAAAACAACCGAAATTCTTTTTTTTTAATGAATGAAATGTGGTTAACATTTCTTCCCTCAAACGGTACATACTTCTTAACGTAAACAAGATATTGAATGACGAAATTTTTGTTGAAACTTGGGGAAAATAAATGTATTCTGAACAAAATTATTTACAAATAAATAGAATCTATAAAATTTTGTTACAGGAGTACTAATTAATGGATGGATATGTATCACATTTATGTAAAACAGTGTATAAATTTATTAAACTCTGATCATTTTATAATTGCAATAAAAATGAATATGTAGTCTATCTGGCTTCCACCATGTCACGTTGCTTGACTGGACTCAGATTGATTAGATTATTCGAGTTCTCTACCAGTTCGGTGATGCTGACTCTACCACGTTGCCTCACAAACTTTGCGACAGCTTCAAGTTCCTCTTGAGAGATGTAAATGAATTTTCCTCTGTCGTCGATCACACCAGTTAAAGTTCCAGTGGTTTGAAGTTCCTGTATTCTTTCTACTACACTGATGGTCTTCAGACCAAAATGTGCAGCTAGGTCTTCAAGGACCACTACTTTGTTTTCTTGGATGTATTGCACAAATGCTTGCAACAAATTTTCTTCTTCATCTCTGTCCTCTTGTTCATACCCTTCTTCCTCTACACTGAATGCTTCTTTCATTTTTATATATTCTTCATATTCTCTTCTTTCTTTTTCTTCTCTGGCTTTCCTCTCTGCTTCTTCTTGCCGTAATTCCTCTTCACGCTCCTTTTCATATTGCTTGTCTCTTTCTTCTTGGAGAAGTTGTTCCCTTTTCTTACGTTCCTCTCTTTCCCTTTCTGCTGCTTCCCTTTGTACTTTCTTTTCTGCTTTAGCTACTAATTTTGCTCTCTTCTTTGCACCTATCTTGTGATCAAGGACAACTATTTTTTCGTCCGCTTCATCATTGCCATCAGATGCATCTTCATCATGGACCTCTTGCTCATTTGTATTTGCTTGCATACGACGTCTAGCATTTCTCTGACCTGCTGCTCGCCTTATTTGTCTACCCTGGCCTACTCTTTCTTCTGCATTGGTTTGTTCCTTTTTTGTACCTGTAATGTATGTAAATAATGAACATTTAATGTCCTGTTTCTGTATTAAATATTCATGACATGCAGATATATCAATCTTTACAGTACAGAGTAGGATATTTTAAGTCCTTTAAAATTTATTGGTCTTGTAAGAAATAGGATAATAATTCTCTGTTAAAAAATAAACACTACAAGTTGGTTTAATGGATTTTTAGTGAAGGACTTTATTAATGCCACTCTGTAATTTAAAGGTTAGCAAAATTGAAATTGTCAAAACATCTGTTTCATAACAAATTTATAGGTTAGGAAGTAATACAATTACAATGACAAATACATGCTTTTCTAATGGCAAGTGAATTAAAAATATACGAAGAACGTACCGGACCTTCGTCCTGAGAATATTGTACAAACAATAATTAAAACTATAATTAAAACAGCAATAGAAACTAACAACGACACGTCCATTTTTTAAACGAAACTTCTACAGTCGTGATTCGGCGCAGGATGTTTGATTGTCAAACTCGAATTCTCAAACTTCCAAATTTTTAGATTCCCAAATTTCTAATTTCTAAAATTCTTAAAATTCCACTTCCTTAAATTTTTAAGTTTCTATTCATAATTCGAGTGTCGATTATCGAGAAAATTGACATCGATAAGGCTCAGTGGCGCCACGTACGTGACCGTACCGACTGATTTCGAAGGTGACGTGTTCTGTGTACAGGTTTACGTAGAATTTTGCTTGTCGTTTATTGTGCTGTGCTATTAACAATTTAATAATAATGTTAAAATACGGAAGTATATTTATAATTTTCCTTTGCCTCCTCGAATATGGGACGGGTCTTTACTTCCACATCGCTGAAACCGAACGAAAGTGTTTCATCGAGGAGATTCCAGATGAAACGACAGTTGTAGGTACGTAAAACATGTATATGTCAATAAACATATTGTTAATTGTCTTTATTACAGTTTCCGCGATAATGAGGTTTTATTTTTCTTCTCATAGTAAATTATAAGGTCGAATTATATGATCCACGAACCGGTGGATTCGCACCAAGTGGTGCAGGGATGGGAATGCACGTGGAAGTTCGGGATCCTGACGATAAAATGATCCTTTCCAGAGTGTACAGTTCAGAAGGAAGAATTTCGTTCACTTCTCACACACCTGGTGAACACATTATTTGTTTATACTCCAACAGCAGCTCTTGGTTTAGTGGTACTCAATTGGTAAACAACATGACTACATAACTCAAGTGATACGTAACAGTTCAGTGTAATTAATGTCATTTTATTTGTCAGAGAGTGCATTTGGATATCCAAGTAGGTGAACATACTATCGATTATGCTAATACAGCTCAGAAGGAAAAGTTTACTGAGCTGCAGCTAAAGATACGTCAACTTCTTGATCAAGTAGAACAAATAACAAAAGAACAAAATTATCAAAGGGTAAGTACTTGTGGAGTTCCTGATTTAGGTTAGATTGCAATTATTATTTTGTATTATCTGTTGCCAGTATCGGGAAGAACGCTTCAGGCAAACATCAGAAAGCACACACCGTCGCGTATTCTGGTGGTCTCTTGCTCAAACTGTGGTTTTACTAATCATGGGTGCATGGCAGATGAGACATTTGAAGAGCTTCTTTGAAGCAAAGAAATTAGTGTAAGATCAAAACCAAATTTATTCCTAAAACATAGTCACTTGACAAATATCAGTTCGATTTGGCCCTGTGTCAAATCTGTGTTATAATTTATTGAACAAAAAAAATAGGGTATGAACACTGAAAGGTCTGTTTTGAAGATATTTGTACTTTTCATATGTAACCAATTTAGGTACATTCACATACGTTCACTGATCCGTGTATTTAAATTCTCATGTAATAAAAACATTGTATGGAGTGAATTATTGTTGTAATAAAATATTAATTTTCAAAGAAATAGTCTTGTATTTATTTCACGTGTAATTTCTAGTGTAATGTAGAAATCCTTTGGACAAGTTTTAGCATAGAGGAATCTTTCATTACCGGCTTTTGGATTATTCCCAACGCCGCCATTTTACCTACAGTAAGTGGGGGCATACATGTGAACATGTCTTTAGTCAAAGTTGTGCAATACGTCTGACACGCACGTGAAATCATGAAAGCTATCATCGTTGGAACATTTTAATATCACTATAATTCAAAAGTGTTTAACATAAAAATTTTCATCAATGAATCTATAACATTGTGAAATTAAAAATTTATTTTAAACAAAGTTTCAACATGTTTTCTTTGCGACAAGCATTTCGTTGTGGCACACGGTTGATTCTGACGAAAAAACCTATAAATTTGCATCGGCTTCCATGGACTACTAATGAAAATCTCGAAGTCAATTTTTGCGAACGAATGTGTATTCATTCGAAGACGAATCTCTGCGAATCATCACAAGAGAATAACGAAGAAACCAGTAAGAAACAGGTGCTTGGAAAGCTCGAAGGAAAACTGAAGCTGATGTTTACATGTAAAGTATGCCAGTATAGAAGTAGCAAAATTATATCGAAAGTGGCATACGAAAAGGGAGTAATTATAATTCGTTGCGATGGTTGCAAAAATAATCACTTGATTGCTGATAATCTGGGATGGTTCGAAGACTTAAAACGTAGAAACAACATTGAAAAATTAATGGCAGCAAAGGGAGAGACTGTTCAGAGGATAAGAAATAGCGATGGATTCATTGAAGTTATTGAGAAAGCAGAATATGATTTGTTACAACATAATATGAAATGGGAACAGGATTTAATTGAAAAGCAAAAACAGACAGATAGTCAAATAAAGAAAAGTGGAAATTCAGAGGACACATAACTATTATCTAAGGAAAAGACTTTATTTTAAAAATATAGTGGTGAAAAAATATTTAGGCAAATGTAAATATTTCGAAATTTATTACATTACTATTTCTATGTTTTTTATATTATGTTAAACTTACAAGTACAGAGAAAAATAATATCAAAAATTTGGTCAATATCGAAAGACTAAGATTTATTTTTGATCCTTTAAACTATAATTGTTAAGGAAAATAGCACTGTCCCTATTGTATGCAAATATAATTCTTTAGTTATAGCAAATGTAAATAATATTTCTAATATGTACAATTTAATAAAAAATATATATTCTCGGATAAAACTCTTCAGATCTTATAAAAATTCTATAAAACTTGCCTCTGTGTGCAATAGAATAACCATCCTATAAGTTTTTATTATAAAGTTTGATGCTACAATTGAGTGTAATATCAACATGGTTTCACTCCAAAAATGGCATACCTTGGCACAAGTAGAAGTTGTATGGCAAGTTTTAATTAAGAAACTGTTGAATAATATAAATTTCAATCAAGATGTATATATATGATACATTCTTTTATAAAAATGTTTTACTAAAAATATATGGAACATAATTAAATCTTTTATAAATGTGTATATATATGTATAATATAATACATACGTATGCATATAAAATATATAGTATTAGAAACAGAAGGAATGACTTATTTTTTTCCTTATCATGCATTTATAAAATATATTTTGAAGAAATTATATTCATATAGATTTTAAATATCTGAAGACACAACTTATAACAGTATTATAATAAAGAGCTATGAATAGTTATGATATATAATAATAATATTGAAAATTATAAGTCTCTAAGTACACCAAATGTTGGAATGACATGCAAATTTATTTTTTAACTTTCTTTCACTTTTTCATTAAATTCTACATCATGATATAAGGCACTATATCTTTTTTATAGCAATCAGTCACTTTCATATCATTAAAATACTAATGCTGTATTTTTCTAACCTATCATATTAATAAATTTAAATATATAAAATCGTTTTGTTTCTAAAATAATTATTTCTATACAATTGACAATGATTAGGAAGACTAGTATTTCTTAAACTAATCTTTGCACAAGACAAATGTCATTTCATTCCTGAATTTAAATGACAAAGTTATAGAATATCAGCATTTAACTTTTCATTATTTAAAACGATAGAAATGAACCTATTCTAGTCACAATAAAGACTAGTATGTTATGATTTTCGAAAATTAAGAATCTCTGGTGTAAATATAATTATTATATTTATCGAATTGAATCGCTAATTAAGTGAAATTATATAAAATTCTTTCATACCCTTTTTGGTTTTGACACAATTGCATATTCGCTATTATTGAAGACTTTATGCTTTGGACCCACAGTATTGTTACCAGACACAGATTCAGGAAGACTTGCTTTCTTTCTAATAACACCATATCCAAGATGGCTATCATCTGCTAATCTCACAGCAGACATATCTTCAACAATTTCGTAGTTAGACCAGGCAGTATTAGTATCAGCCACAGAAGTATTTAAAGAAATATTGGAATGTGAGGTTTGCGATGCACCACTGAAATTCCCGAATTTATATGCACCTTTTTGGGCGAGTTTCGACGCAGAACCAAAGTGTTCCAGTTTATCATAATCTGATTCCTCATTGGACTTGCAAGGTACCTGATTTATCGTTGAAGTAGCCACCCCACTATCCGTAATACTAGACTTACTTTTTGAAGAGCTTTGAGAAGACATAAATGGCATCATAGTTTCGTATTGGAAATCATCCTCGTTTTCTTTATTTTTGTCATTATGTAATAACGAGTTTGGTCTCTCTGTGTGATGTATATTATCGATACCGTGCGTTTTCCAAGCATCGTTTCTTACTTCTACTAAATCATACGGATGCTTCTCTTCATCATCAAGGATGGAGCTTCCAATTGTTTTTTGTGACAACTCTGGAGAGGTGTCACGATTTAACGCTTTGTACTCTCCACACGCGGACGAGTCGGACAATTCAGGATCCACATTTTTCTTATCTAGCAGGCCTGTAAAGACACATTTACGCGGTGGCTTCGCAGGTTTTGATTTTCCAATCGATGAAGATGGTTTAGTAGATATACTACTATCTAAATTCGAAGAAGAGGTGGAGTGTTTTTGTGAATTTTGTGGGGAAAAATCAATATCAATTAAATTAGCAGAGCTATTTGGTGATGGAGGTAATGCTGCTCTAGAACCGGCTTCCATAGATAAGGCAGCATGATATTGAGCATCATTACAATCGATGCTGGGACTACTTTCTTCATTCATCAACTTTTTCATTGATCTCATTTTAGAGTACATGCAACGGAAGATCTCATGCTGGCTACTGTGCTCCAGACGAAAAGAACCTTCCCCCGATTCACATTTCCTTCCAGCTTCAAAAATGAACTTTCCATCTTTGTAACCATATCTTCTAATATATCGATATGGCCAAGTGAACAATACCACATCACCATCCATTAATTTAATGTCAACTGCAGCTACCACAAGAGTATAATTTCTGCTCTCTAAACCACATCGTTTAGATGCATCTGTCTCTACAACTTTAACAGAAAATACTCCTTCCCCACTGGTACAGTACAGATCATTGTTTTCCTCTATTGTTTGATTAGATACACTATCTTTAAATGCCACTAATTGAAATGCAGTGATCCAATGACTCATATCTGATTCGGAATAACATCCGAAATAATGAATCCCTGACTTAGTCACAACCTATGCATAAAAAGAAATAGATAAGTATTTTTTAGATGAACATTCCTAGAATTCATAAGTCCATACTCACGGTAAAAACATGTGACTGATTACTGGGTGCAATTTTGATACATGCATCCAAGGTGATGATACGAGGAGTATGAAGCTGTAATATAGCTTCCTCTTGATTGTCATAAATTTCCACGCGTTTGATTCCATAATTGCTAGTCCTAAACAGCTGACAGAACCTTTTGTGCCATGTTTTCTGTAAAAGAGAAATACCACGCTTGTCTCATAACGTCGGTAAATGATTTCCAACGAGGCGAAATGAACGCGTAATCTAAATATGTCGAATAAATCATCGTTACGAATCAAGAGCGTGATGTCTTAACATTTAGCACCAACTTATACGAGTCTGAAATGTGTGGAATGTTATCGCGTATGCTTTGTAGGTTATTTCCGTGAGATCACCGATAACGAAAAACCTAATCAATTAACGTGCTCATGAACACGAATAATCGACAGAAAAGAAATCGCAGATTACAGGTCCATTCGTCGAAGAATTACGATAACTCGAAGTATCTTTTTATTCGTATCGACGTAAACCAACCTTGAGTTGGCCTAGCATTCCCTGCGGTGGTAACAGCAGGATCCCTTGTATCAAAGGTTCTTCGGGCTCCATCGTTCCCGCGAAACATCAGCAATCCCACGTTTCACTAGGAGCGTGCCTCTATCCCTTGTGTAATTTCGAAAAAGTAAATTTTTCCACTTTCACTCCCACTTTTCCCCGTCCGTGCTATTCCTCTCACTGGTTCGCCTCTGCTTTCGAATGTTGCTCTATCGTTCGCGCTCGTTCTGACAATTTTCTCAAAGACATTCAACCCATCATAATGTACGGTGCTTGACATTTCACAAAAGCTTGGTGCCCGACGTGAACGTCGACTAGGATTTCCGGGAGAAAAAGTCCTGCTGTATGTGTGTACGTGCTGCGCGAATACGTCGTGTGTGATATTATACGTACACGAGCAGTATAGTTCCTGTGTACAGTTCCCGACGCATTCGGAGCCAACTATCGTCGAGTAATAGAGGCACGCACGTCCTCTGCCGTACGCGTACGATGTTACCCGAATTCTCACGAACGGATGTATAGAAGCGCGACTATTCCCGGAGATAACTCCTACCACTTGTTATTTTAACTTGTCAACTTCTCTAACTTTGTTTGCATCGAAATTTTTATCACACCGTACGTTCCTGTACCAACCTTTCCTTTAATCCACCACCTTGCATTCCAGCGTAATCGCTGAGAACTCAAATTCTATGCGTTGCTCTCCCGACTTCCGTTTGCCTATTTTCCTTTTCCCGCCTGTTACAATATTTTTAAAACAAACAACACACGTTCTGCATTACGATCATAATAAATATTCAAAATGAAGTGAAAAATTGAATCAAATTTAATTAATAATAATTTTATAATTTTCTTTATCTGATTTCTTTATATCTATTAATTTTTATCTGTCAATCTCTCCTCAGCCACTTCCGTTTTCCTAAGAATCTTACGTAGAGTATTACCGTGTGTATAAAATGATAACAAAAGATACGAAAGAAAAATATTTTAAGTACGAGTACCTGTATGATTGATTTCGCGCATAATACAGGCGTGTAGTCATCGACGAGCGGAACAAAGAGCAGTATGTTACAATGGAATCTTAAACGCGCCGACGTTGAAGAATAAAGTTGCGAGGCAATGCTTGATCATTTTTTTATGGATTAACAACGACCACGCGTAGGTTGAGGCAGTCGACGCCATCAAGTTTATCTCTGATTTCGCTACACGGAAGTGGGAACCCCTAACCGATATGAAACAATACAATTGTCTCGTGCCGGCTACGGCAATGCTGTCCATACCTTGCTATTTCAAACAATTTTTGGCGGGAAATAAACTAAATTCAAATTTTATTTTAAAATATTGGCTAAATCTTTTTGAGAGTTTGTAGCAAAAATTAATTTATTGAAAATACATTAGTTTTGGTTTATGAAAAATGTTAAATTAAGTATTTTTGAGAGTTTGTACCAAAAATTAATTTATTGAAAATTGCACTGTTGCTGGTTCATGAAAAATATAATTAAATTAAATCTTTTTAAAGGAAATTTGTAGCAAAAATTAATTTATTGAAAATATATTAGTTTTGGTTTATGAAAAATGTTAAATTAAATATTTTTTAAGGGTTTGTAGCAAAAATTAATTTATTCAAAATGCAGTAATTTTAGTTTATGAAAAATATAATTAAATTAAATCTTTTCAAAAGAAGTTTGTACCAAAAATTAATTTATTGAAAATGCATTGTTGCTGGTTTATGAAAAATATAATTAAATTAAATCTTTTTAAAGGAAGTTTGTAGCAAAAATTAATTTATTGAAAATACAGTAATTTTAGTTTATGAAAAATATAATTAAATTAAATCTTTTCAAAAGAAGTTTATACCAAAAATTAATTTATTGCAAATACACTACTGTTGGTTTATGAAAAATGTTAAATTAAATATTTTTTAAGGGTTTGTAGCAAAAATTAATTATTCAAAATGCAGTAATTTTAGTTTATGAAAAATATAATTAAATTAAATCTTTTTGGAAGAAGTTTATACCAAAAATTAATTTATTGCAAATATACTACTGTTGGTTTATGAAAAATATAACAACATTTTTTTATTAAAATTTGACATTTGTGTTTGAATAAAATTGTGTTAATTTTGTTAAAATTTGAGTGGAAGATAACATATTATGAATGATATTCGTAGAATTAAAAATCTGTTTCCAGTGAATCTTTTTTCTCCTTGAGGGTTGGTGTAATATTAAAAGCGAATTTTGTAATGAGTCAGCAAGTTCACGCAACTAGGTTAAACAATGTCCTGTTCCAATTTCACGGGGATTCGATCGTTGCTCAATAAGTTATTGAAGAATTGACCTTTCCTGCGATTCGTGGTGCATCGTGATCACATTAGGCCTAGTCGGCTCGTGATTGCGCTCTGACGAAGTTGTAATAACACATAGTCCAAACTAATGAAGTGATATATTATTCACAGGTGTCCTCAGTTATATACTACTCGAACGATACTCGTAACTTCATTTGTCAATAGAAATGTTATCGGTTCTTTTGCTTCTTTGGAACGTCAATTACGGGAACAGTTTCAATGATTTTCCATCCTTGATTAGCACGAACGTCACCATGGGTACGAGTCTTTTTTCGTTTTTAAATGATTCATATTACCGATCAGATCGAACTATCACTTTGATAAACTGTCTTTACTATATCAGTGATCAAGGTGAATCTTCAAGCTCGAATTATCTACCGCTTATCAATAACAATTTTTAAATCCTTCTCACACCGAGTTAAAATTTTTTATTGGGACATTGTGAAGTTATAACGTTTGAAGTTTTTAAGGATGAATTTTTTTAATAAACGAAAGAAATTTGTTTGATCAGCGGTGGTGGTCGACAGAAGCCTCTTCGACAGCAAAGAGGAGTACCACAACATCGCCGGGGTCATATACGATCTGATCACCGACACCGTGAAGAAGGAGATGCAAGTCGGCGGAATCGTGGTGCAAGTGTTCCGCGACGGGAACGTCAATTTGCGACAAGGTAAGGATACTCGATGAAGATTAATTACTCGCTAATTCTTCTACTTATTCTTTCGTTCACGTTCGCCAAGATTACACGATACTTTTGTCCTTTGCGTCGTGCTATTTAACGTGGCGTCTGCACGAGGCTGCTGCGAACAAGGAGCTCATGCATCTTGCAATAACAGGTACTAATAAATGTCACACTTTTACAAAATTTCGTTACTAAAAATTTGTACAGAAAATACTAAACCTACCAGCACATGTGTACTTAATTTGAAGTTGAAAAATAAATAAACAAACGACAAAACATAAATTAGTGCACACATTTATTCTTTGCGTTGATGAAAATCAATTCTGATTTCAAGGAATGTTTAATGAAACGAGTACCTTATAATAATAAGCTTGTGGAGCGGTCATTTGGGAGTTTTAGTGTTAAATGAAGGTACAGAAAGTATAGAAACAGTAATTAACAGAGTTTGAAACTGTAAATGAAACAGTAATTAATCAAGCTTGAAAGTGTTAAAGTTGAAAGTGTTAGTAATTGATTAAGTTTGAAATTATTAATTGAAACAGTAATTATTGAACATCTGTCGAAGATCCAGATTGTCCCCGAATCCCAGAAACCGACGGCCTGAGCGTGCCCCTGATCATGCCCGGCAAAGAGCTCTCCCAGATCTTCCTCGACCTCAGGATGACGAACATTCTATCCTGGAACGTGATCAACATTCTCCACGACGATACATTCGGTGATAAGAATAGCTAGTAGTAGATAACGTTGAACGACTCTTTTATCTTCAATCGTTTACGGTTCAGACAGGGACACGATCAGCAGAGTGATGAAGGCCATATCGGATAAGCTACCGAACAGACAATTAAGCCTGGTCTCCAGGTCGATCTTCACGTTGAAACACGAGGACACGGAGATGGCGAGGAAGAAAGCCGTGAAGAAGATATTGGATGATTTTCATGTGGAACAACTGGGACACTGCTTTTTGGTCATTGCGACGGTTGACATGGTTGTTGATGTCATGACGGTGGTAATATGGCTGTTTGGTGTTTAGTTGATGATGTTTAACACTAGATTGCCTAAGGCAGTCATTTTGATTGCTTTTCAATTTCAATTAGAAAAACAATTGTGTATAGAATGACACAGCTTCTTAGAATTTTGTGACTTTTTGTACAACATATAAATGCGTTTATTAATAATTGTAGTTACCTCCCCCCTCCTTTATTTCCGGTATATATGTATGTGTTATACTTATATTGCCCCAAAGCAGTCAAAATGAATCAAAGTTTCAGTCTTTCTAGTGTTAAGAGATGATGTTTAAGAGATTCATACTGTTGGTTGAATTTAGTGAAGAAGTATTATATGGAGAATTTGAAGTAATTCGATGTTTAGCTTAACCCTTTTGCACTTGAAGGTAATAGCAACTTATTACTGGAAAAGTTAAATGAATTCTTTTGAGGTTATTTCTCTACTAATAATTATTCTAATTGTGGAAATTATTGATAAAGCACAGTTTGTTTCACTGTGTGTATACATCACGTGTGTCATATTATAACATCAGTTAAATGCTTATTTCAAATTATTGTATTAAACAAAATGGCGACCGAGAGTCACCTGTCGAGCGCAAAGGGTTAATTTTGGGTCTTCAAGTTAGCTCTTCATGTTAAATGAGATATTAATTATAGAATCATAGAATTGACCATGGAAATTAATTTGTGTTATGTAGACTAACTCTGGTTCTTTGTCTTCATCTCAAGTTTTCATCTTCATCTTAAATGAGTCCTTCACAAATTGACTATAGAGTTAATTTGTGTTATGTAGCCTAACTGCAGCTCTCCTCTGGTTCTTTGTTTTCATCTCAAGTTTTCATCTTCATCTTAAATGAGTCCTTCACAAATTGTCCATAGAATTAATTTGTGTTATGTAGCCTAACTGCAGCTCTCCTCTGGTTCTTTAACTTCATCTCAAGTTTTCATCTTCATCTTAAATGAGTCCTTCACAAATTGACTATAGAGTTAATTTGTGTTATGTAGCCTAACTGCAGCTCTCCTCTGGTTCTTTGTTTTCATCTCAAGTTTTCATCTTCATCTTAAATGAGTCCTTCACAAATTGACTATAGAGTTAATTTGTGTTATGTAGCCTAACTGCAGCTCTCTCTGGTTCTTTGTCTTCATCTCAAGTTTTCATCTTCATCTTAAAAGAGTTCTTCACAAATTGACTATAGAGTTAATTTGTGTTATGTAGCCTAACTGCAGCTCTCCTCTGGTTCTTTGTTTTCATCTCAAGTTTTCATCTTCATCTTAAATGAGTCCTTCACAAATTGACTATAGAGTTAATTTGTGTTATGTAGCCTAACTGCAGCTCTCCTCTGGTTCTTTAACTTCATCTCAAGTTTTCATCTTCATCTTAAAAGAGTTCTTCACAAATTGACTACAGAATTAATTTATATTATGTAGCCTAACTGCAGCCCTCCTCTGGTTCTTTGTTTTCATCTCAAGTTTTCATCTTCATCTTAAATGAGTCCTTCAGAAATTGTCTATAGAATTAATTTGTGTTATGTAGACTAACTATAGCTCTTCTCTGACTCTTTGTCTTCATCTTCATCTTAAAAGAGTCCTTCAGAAATTAATTATATAACTCGTTTGTGTTATGTAGACTAACTGCAGCCCTCCTCTGGCTCTTTGTCTTCATCTCAAGTTTTCATCTTCATCTTAAAAGAGTCCTTCAGAAATTGATCATAGAATTTGTGTTATGTAGACTCACTCTCCTCTGGTTTTCCTTTCGATCTTCATTTTAATTGCGTTCATTTTAGTCGAGCCTTCAATCATTCATCTCTTCACAAACAAACTACCCTATTCTTACACTCACATTCCTTTTCAACAAAGAATATTTTAAATCTTTCGAAACTTGTTCATCAAATGCTGCTTTAAGGCAAGATCCCTGAGGATGGTTCACCCAGGCAGCCAATGGCTGTACGTAGTAACGAACACCGCCCCGAACAGAACCAACATCACATCCTTCGTGGAGTTACTAGCCGAAGGAGGAAACGTGGCCTTCATATACAACGCGACCGATTTCAATGACTTCTGTGAAGTAACTATTATAATAACTGTCTAACAAAATATTGTATAGGATAATTGAATAATTGTGAAAAGACTCTTCAGGTCAAAGTGACGTACTACGCGAAGAAACTGGTGCAAGCTTTAGCCAAAGCGCTGGAATACTCTTTGACAAACGAGATCGATATGCTGAAGAGAGTCGGTGGAGAAGACTTCGAGATGATCAGGTTGACGAAACGGGAGAGACGGAAGGAAATCCTGACGAATTTCAAAGTCAGTTTCATTCTTAAAAGATTGCAAATTTATTTTCTTAAAAGTTTTACTCTGTGAGTTTAATGGAGTACCAATTAAAACTGTGTCAAAACTTTTGTCAGATGTATCTGGAGAGGGATGTACTGAATTCGGAGACGGTGCATGGTAGATGCGTGTTGTGGAAGTTCACCTCGTCTATAACGTGGGGAAATTTTTTTTCGCACGGTAAAAACGTGGCGCATTTATTGGACATCGGCACGTGGACTCTCGCTGCGGGGGTTAATTTAACGGACGATATTTTTCCGCACATCGTGCATGGCTTCAGAGGAATTAATTTGCCGATCACTACGTATCACGTGGGTAAACACTCTGAAGTTTGATGCATGGGTCATACGCCAAATCGTTCGCCATCTTGCTCTAATCAAAATATGTTGTAGTCCACGTGAGATTAGGGGGGGTTTAAGTCATCATTTTGCAGGTTTCGAATTTATTAAAAAAACGAAGTCGGTTAATAACAAGCCTTCAAAGTTTGCAATTTTTGCCCATTCTTACGAAAATAGGTTTTACTCACGAATTTTTTTCTCGGAAACTACTCAACCTATTTAGCTAAATTCTTTTTTGTTTTATTCAAGAAGAATTGTACTATTTTAAAATATTTTTTTTAGTTCCGTCAATTTGTTATGGAATGTCGGAAAACTTAAACGAATACTTTTTTTGTATTTTTTTTCAGTGAGGGGTGTAATGATTCTTTTTCAATGAGACACAACAAATTGACGGAATGAAAAAAAATATTTTAAAATAGCCCAATCCTTATTGAATAAAACAAAAAAGAATTTAGCTAAATTCGTTGAGTAGTTTCTTAGAAAAAAATTCGTAAGTGAAGCCTATTTTCGCAGAAGTGGATAAAAATTGCAAACTTTGAAGGCTTGTTATTTTTTTAACAAATTCGAAATGATGACTTAAACCCCCCCTAATTTCACGTGGACTACAACACATTTTGATTAGAGCAAGGACGTCCCAAAGATCGATTTGTAATGACCCGTATTCCCCTTGGAAGTGGTCCATTTTTAAAGGGGTTGTTTTAGAACCCACCGTGGCAGGTGATCACCGTAAACGAAAAGGGTGAAAGATCGTACGAGGGGTTAGTTTTCGACGTGATCAACCACCTCAGTAAAAAATTGAACTTTACGTACACAGTAATCCTACCGGAAGTGAACAGTACGAAGCCCTGGAGCTCTTCACGATTTTCCAAACTTGGAGACGTAAGGTCACTTCTATACGAAATAATATAACATAACCTATAACAATATTTGTTCTTAGATTATTTGTAATAATTAATAATTGTGAGAATTTGACTTTCCGCAGAAAATTAACGAAATGACGATGTCGAATACGAGGAGGGTGCCTAAAGAGGTGATTAAGTTGGTTCGAGAGAAGAAGGTACTGTTAGCAGCGTGTGCTTATACAGTACAAGAGTATGAGGACACCATTAACTTCACTGTACCCGTTTTCGTGCAGACTTATAGCTTTTTAACTACTAGGCCTAGGCAATTGTCTAGGGCTCTTTTGTTTGCCTCGCCATTTACTAAAGAGGTACCTTCACATTTTATGGAAAATTAGATTATGGGGTCAATTGTGATTAATGGGAATTTTTAGCAAGTTCGGGTGGTTTTGGAAATTTGGAATTTGGGGATTTTGGAATCTTGGGGGATTTTTGAATTTTTAGGGATTTTGGAATTATTGAGGTTTTGGGGATTTCAGATATTTTGGGGAATATGGAGATTTGGTGATTTGAGGGTGAGGGAATTTGGGAATTTTTGAATTTGGAGAGTTTGGGGATTTAGGGGTTGAGGAATTTAGGAATTGGGGAATTTTGGTATTTGGAAATTTAGGAATTGGGGGATTTTGGTAATTGGAAATTTGGAAATTGGGGAATTTTGGTAATAGGAAATTTGGAAATTGGGGAATTTTGGTAATTGGAAATTTTGGAATTGGGGTATTTTGGTAATTGGAAATTTAGGAATTGGGGAATTTTGGTAATTGGAAATTTAGGAATTGGGGAATTATGGAATTGGGGAATTTAGAAATTGGGGAATGATGGAATTGGGGGATTATGGGATTGGGGAATTATGGAATTGGGGAATTATGGAATTGGGGAATTTAGAAATTGGGGGATTATGGGATTGGGGAATTATGGAATTGGGGAATTTAGAAATTGGGGAACTATGGAATTGGGAAATTATGGAATTGGGAATTATGGAATTGGGGAACTATGGAATTGGGAAATTATGGAATTGGGAAATTATGGAATTGGGAAATTATGGAATTATGCAGTTATGGGATTGGGGAATTATGAAATTGGGAAATTTGGAATTGAGGAATTATGGAATAGGGAAATTATGGAATTATGCAATTATGGGATTGGGGAATTATGGAATTGGGAAATTATAGAATTGGGGAATTATGGAATTGGGGAATTTTGATATTTGGAAATTTAGGAATTGGGGATTTTTGGTAATTGACAATTCAGGAATTGGGGGATTTTGGTATTTGGAAATTTTGGAATCGAGAAATTTTAGAAATTGGAAATTTAAGAATTGGGGAATTTGAGAAATTGAACAAAAAATTTCAATATTCAGAAATTTAGAAATTGTAGAATTATAATAATCACTTAATTCAGTAATTAATTTCAGTACTTGACTATTTAGAAATTTGCAAACATAGAAACTTTCTAACTTGAAAATATACTGTGAAATCTAGAATTTATAAATTTGAAGACATCCCAATTTGCATTATAATGCAATCAAGATTTATAAATAAGATTTTTCCAAACTTTACACTTTGAAATTTGTTTATTTCAATGAAATTATCAAGATAGAAGAATATCTCTTACAGTGACTCGAAAGAATTGCAATAAACTATACCATTTCATTTTGCTTCAAAAGTTCTGTGTCTTCAAGCCAATTTATTACAGCATCGTTTCAGACATGGTTCTGTTTGGCTGTGACCGTTATCATAATGGGTCCGATCTTGTACCTGATCCACAAATACAGTCCATACAGCACGAAGACCTCGGGCCTGAACTCATCCTGGCAGTGTGTGTGGTACGTGTACGGGGCTCTTCTTCAACAAGGTACCATTTTATTACCCGCTAAACTGTCTCCATTTCTCTTTCGTACGTGAACATTCACCCGATCGGAATTCGTGTTTGCTCCTGCTGCTCGACAACGATCACGCATTTAACGGCTTGTATACTCACGAATTTTACCAGCTGCGTACCACGGAGATAATTGTATTTGCACGTTGATAATGCTTATGGTAATTATGGGATAAAAATGGAGGTTCGTAACGAGACTTCGGAATAACTGCTAATAACTGTATATAAATTATTATCTGGGGACTTGGTGGTTTTAATTATTATTTATTGGTGCTTTTTTATTTTTTGAGGTGAATTATGGTTTTGGAGATAGGACGTTTTGAAACATTTTAAATATTATTATTGTTATTATTATTATTATAATATTACATTATTATTGATTTCAATTATTATTTATTATTGCTTTCTTATTTCTATCAATGAATTATAGTCTTGTAGATAGGTCTTTTTGGAATTATTTAAATATTATTATTATTATATTAGTACATTATTATTATTTTTAATTATTAATTATTATTGCTTTTTTGTTTCTTTCAATGAATTATGGTCTTGTAGATAGGACGTTTTGGAGCATTTTAAATATTATTATTATATTACATTACATTACATTATTATTATTTTTAATTATTAATTATTATTGCTTTTTTATTTCTTTCAGTGAATTATGGTCTTGTAGATAAGACGTTTTGAAACATTTTAAATATTCTTCTTCCTCTTATTATTATATTACATTATTATTATTTTCAATTATTATTTATTATTGCTTTTTTATTTCTTTCAGTGAATTATGGTCTTGTAGATAAGACGTTTTGAAACATTTTAAATATTCTTCTTCCTCTTATTATTATATTACATTATTATTATTTTTAATTATTATTTATTATAGCTTTTTTATTTCTTTCAGTAAATTATGGTCTTGTAGATAGGTCTTTTTGGAACATTTTAGATATTATTATTATTATTATTATTATTATATTACATTATTATTATTTTTAATTATTAGTTATTGCTTTCTTATTTCTTTCAGTGAATTATGGTCTTGTAGATAGGTCTTTTTGCAACATTTTAAATATATTTTCAATGCCATCTCATGTAGAAAATTAATTTGTGCACAGGAAGTATAACTGAATTTGTTTGTGATAAATTCAGAAGTTAATATGATTGGTTTGGTTAGGTTAGATTTGGTTGTTTAGTTCAATTATTTAGTTTAATTGTTTTAATTTAATTATTTAATTTTATTACTCAAGTTTAATTGTTTCATTTAGTTGCTTAATTTAAATATTTGATATAACTGTTTTTAATTCAATTGTTTGGGTTAATTGTTCAATTTAATTATTCAATTTAATAATTTCATTTAATTGTTTAATTTAATTATTCAAATTCATTGCTCAAATTAATTATTGATTTAATTATCTTAATTTAATTATTGATTTTATTATTTTAATTTAATTATTTGATGTGACTGTTTATTTTAATTATTCAAATTCATTGCTCAAATTAATTATTGACTTAATTATCTTAATTTAATTATTGATTTTATTATTTTAATTTAATTATTTGATGTGACTGTTTAATTTAATTATTCAAATTCATTGCTCAATTTAATTATTGATTTAATTATTCAATTTAATTATTTGATAATAACTGTTCAATTTAATTATTTGATAATAACTGTTCAATTTCATAATTTGATAATAACTGTTCAATTCAATAATTTGATTTAATTATTCATTTCACAAAATCATTATAGAATATTCTTCTTTTTAAGTTGATCATATTAATTGTTTTACATAAATTATTTACAACAGAGGATTAATATATATTCATTTAAATTTCAGGAGGAATGTATTTGCCTCAATCTGACAGTGCACGCATGTTAATCGGAGTATGGTGGTTGATCGTGATGGTGGTGGTAGCAACGTACTCCGGAAGTTTGGTCGCTTTTCTCACGTTTCCCAAAATGGACGCATCCATCTTAACAGTGGAGGACCTTATCGCACGCAAGGATAAGATAACCTGGGGTTTTCCTAATGACAGCTTCCTAGAACTGTATCTTCGAAACACCGATGAGCAGAAGTATCAGATTTTGTTGGCATATTCGGAGAGACACAATGATACGGAAGAGGAAACGTTGGTGGAACGCGTGAAACAGGGGAAACATGCTTTGATTGATTGGAGAAGTTCCCTCAGGTTGTTCTCAAAGTTTAATATTTTTAAATACTCAAGTTTCTGAATTTTTAAATTGATATTTCTTAGATTTGTAAATTGCAGTTCTCAAATTTCTAAAATTTCCAAATTTTCAAATGTTAAAATTTCTAAATTAAAACATTATCAAACTTCTATATTTTTAAATGTCAGAATTGTCAGATTCTCACATCCCCAAATCCCTAAATTCCCAATTCCATAATCCCTCAATTCCATAAATCCCAAATTCCATAAATCTCCAATTCCATAATTCACCAATTCCATAAATCCCCAATTCCATAAATTCCCAATTCCATAATTCACCAATTCCATAAATTCCCAATTCCATAATTCACCAATTCCATAAATCCCCAATTCCATAAATCCCGAATTCCATAAATTCCCAATTCCATAATTCACCAATTCCACAAATTCCCAATTCCATAATTCACCAATTCCACAAATCACCAATTCCATAATTCACCAATTCCACAAATCCCCGATTCCATAATTCACCAATTCCACAAATCCCCAATTCCATAATTCACCAATTCCACAAATCCCTGATTCCAGAAATCCCCAATTCCATAATTCCCTAATTCCATAATTCCCCAGTACCATAATTTCCCAATTTCCCACTTTCCCAATTTCCCAATTTCCCAATTCTCAATTCTCCAATTTCCCAAATCCCCAAATCCTCAAATCCCCAATTCCCAATTCCCCAAATTTCGAATCCTAACCTCAAAAATTCCACAATTCCTCAACTAAGGAATCACTATTCCACTTCCCCCCAGTCACTTCCCTTAGAAAAATCCATCATACATCCACACATGCACTAACACATACACACACATACTAATCAATCAACTAAACTAATAGGTTCTTAATGAGGAAAGATTTGCTGTTAACCGGAGGATGCCATTTCTCTTTGAGCGCTGATGAGTTTCTCGATGAACCGATTGCCATGATCATTCCTCAGGATAGTCCTTATTTGGCCGTCATTGATGCAGAGTAAGTAACACGTCTTCTCTAAAGTATCATGGTACATCATAGTAATTTAAATCGAATACACTGAAATTCTCTGAACCACGTCGAGTATTTACGGTGTAGATTGCGTCGAATGCAGGAATCTGGTCTGATGAACAAATGGATCTCCGAGAAGATGCCGATGAAAGACAAATGCTGGGAAGTTCCGGGCAGTAATCAAGCGGTGAATAAACGGAAGGTCAACGTCGCTGATATGCAAGGAATATTCTTTGTTCTTTTCATGGGTAAATTATCAAAATGAAGTTTAATACATGAATAACAAAAGGTTTATACATTTATGGAATTCATAAATAATAAATAATAACAAAATTTATAAAAAAATAAACAATTACAAAAAATAAGACAAGCGTCAAATTCAGGAAAATAAATTTTTCTTTACAAAGGATAGGACTTATTGATAAAATTAATCATAGCTTGTTTTTCATCAAAATTATGAATGATCACATTGCATGAATAACAATGATTATAATAACAATAATTAACAATACTTCCCTCCATATATATAACATTCTTCATCTATTTTTATTAATAAAATTAATTGATAAAATTAATCATAGCTTGTTTTTCATAAAAATTATGAATAATCATATTGCACGAATAACAATAATTATAATAATAATAAGTAACAATATTTCCATTCATATTTATAACATTCTTCATCTATTTTCATTAATAAAATTAATCATAGCTTGTTTTTCATAAAAATTATGAATAATCACATTGCACGAATAACAATAATTATAATAACAATAAATAACAATACTTCCATTCATATTTATAACATTCTTCTTCTATTTTTACAACATTTTTATTCATGTGTCCCACTAATATTCATGTGGACATTTTTGCAAGACCACTTTTTATAAACCAAAAAAACAATAACTTTCAGAAATAATATTTAACTTGTAATGTAAAACTTGCACTCATCTATTACTTCTGCTACATCTAATCAATTTTCTCAATTATTCCAGGCGTCACGTTGTCTTTCCTGTTCCTGTTCTGCGAATTATACTGGAACAAGCGCAAGGTATCCAAGGAACGCAAACTGATTCGTCCATTCGTCTCCTAAAGCAGTTTCCAAGCTAGTTGTTTCGTTAGACAATGATTTTTCCTCGAATAAACGAAGCAGATCAACGTTACTTCAACAATTATCCCACCTCGTTAATCTCTCCGCGACAATTATCGCTTTTTGTCATTGTAACCGTGCTTGGCACCGGAAGTCGCAAAGGTCCTTGCACAATCCCGTCATCGAACTTCCTCGAACCTTTTTTTTTTTCCTCGTCGGCCATGGGTGAACGACGCGAAATGGCAATCGAACGTTTTCATCGATAATTGCTAGAGACAGACACGAAGCAAGCGCGAAATAATTCTCGCCAATGAAATTGCAATCCACCGATGGTCCACGGACGTTTACGCCACATTTGCAATTACCATCACGAACGAATGGCTAATTTGCGGGTAACGGACGACACCGGATATTGCGTGGATATCCACGCAACGTTCGACATCGGCAATGATCGATCCTTTTGCGTGATGGATGTGTGCATTGGCGTAATGCACTTTTGTGCGGAGGGAGCTTGGGTTTACTGGGATTAGTGGTGGTAATTTGGTGTGGTGGAGTTGAGAAGAGTTTGGGATTTTGGGAATTGGGGAATTCAGGAATTGGGAAATTATGGAATTGGGGAATTATGGAATTGGGGAATTATGGAATTGGGGAATTGTGGAATTGGGGAATTGTGGAATTAGAGAATCATGGAATTCGGGAATTATGGAATTAGGATGTCATGGATTTGGGGAATTATGGAATTGGGGAATTGTGGAATTGGGGAATTGTGGAATTAGAGAATTATGGAATTTGGGAATTACGGAATTAGGATGTCATGGAATTGGGAAATTATGGATTTGGGGAATTATGGAATTGGGGAATTGTGGAATTGGGGAATTGTGGAATTAGAGAATTATGGAATTCGGGAATTACGGAATTAGGATGTCATGGAATTGGGGAATTATGGATTTGGGGAATTATGGATTTGGGGAATTATGGAATTGGAGAATTATGGAATTGGAGAATTTGGGAATTGGCGAATTATGGAATTGGGGAATTTGGGAATTGGGAAATTTAGGAATTGGCGAATTATGGAGTTAGGGAATTATGGAATTAGGGAATTTAGGAATTAGGGAATTATGGAATTGGGGAATTATTGTCACGTTTCTACATTGATAATTATTTGGATAGTTTATATTTATTTCATAGGGGGAGTTTGCTAACTGGTCCTCAGACCTCAGAAGTCTGGACCGAGACTTAGCTTGTAGACGTTTAATATAATTTATAATATTTTTAGTCTGTAATCTTCTTCAAGGTTGTATTTAATCACTGTACATTGCCACATTGATTTTCACTGTCATATTAATAATTATTCGATCAGATTGAATTTATTTCAGAAGGGGAGTTTGCTAACAGGTCCTTAGACCTCAGAAGTCTGGTACATGACTTGTAACTTATCGATGTTAAATATCACTTATAATGTTTTTAGTCTGTAATCATCTCTCTACTTCAAGTTTAATTATTGCACATGACCACACTATTGTTTACTACAACATTGGCAATTATTGGATGAAATGTTTAGGTTAGGTTCATTTCAGAAAAGAGGTTAGTGAACTCTCAGGAGCTGAGCATTTTATTTCAACAATAATTTATACTGTTTCACCACAGTAATCTTCTATTTCTTTCATATAATATACATACTACACACTTAAGCACTATATAACATTATAAAAAATCAGCATCGTCAAAAAATAAAATTTTTAAACTGGTCCTCCATGTCTGATACATTAACATACCTTCCATTTTGTATGCATGTATTTTACCAAAAAAAAAAAGAAAAATAGTTTTTATTAAAAGGCAAAGAATATACATGTTATAAAATACGTTTGTAATAATTTGTTTCTGTAAAGACAGCAATTAAATAATCGATGAAAGATGAATTACATTCCCATAATCCCGAGTTCATTGTTCAAATGTAACTTAGAATCTTACTCTCCGTTCTTAGAATCTTCGCACACGTAATTTCCCATTCTTCTGGATGCGATCTTAATAAAGCAACAAGTTGTAGCAACTTCCACCGTAACGTAACAAGAAGCAACCTAAATCATACGCGTCATGTTCATCTTACCCAATCTTATTAAATGCGGAGTCTTTCACTGAAATTAGCACCTTAAGGAAACAATGAAACAACTAACGAAATGCTTGTTCAAAGACTACACGGGCATCAATTTTTCTTTTGCTATCATCGAGAATGGATCTGTATAGTGGGTTACACAATTGAGTGATTTTTATCGCGGAGTAGTAAGATCGTTGTCGGATCGAAGGGAAAGATGGCGGCGGGTAATGGCGGAGGAAACTTTCGTCATTTCTTTCTAGTTTTTTGTAGACTTCGATGGTAACATTAAGGATTGTTGTATTAAGGTTTATATTAAGGATTATTGTATTAAGGTATATATCAAGGTATATATACATACTCGTATATTAACAGTTTATTAAGGTATATTGTTTTCTTTCAAGTAAAGACGATGGATGCTGCATGAATGTAAAGAGGTTAGGAAGATGAGTTTATGGAGAGTTGTTTAAATGGGAAGTAATCTTGGTGACTAATATGAAATATTAAAGGGAGAAATTTAGAAATCTTCAAGGTTATCGACTTTTAAGATTCAACCTTTGATTTTCAAGTTTAAAAATTTGTCAAGGTTAAATTTAAAAAATTAAGTTCAAATGGGAAGTAATCTTGTGGACTATTGTGAAATATTTAGGGAGGAAATTTAGAAATATTCAAGGTTAAACATTTGTAAGATTCAAGTAATAATTTTCAAGTTTTTCAATTTGTCGAACTCCTCAATATTTAACTAAAAAATTTGCAAATTTTAAAAGACTCAAAATGTTCTGATTTTCTAATTTTATAATTTGTTCCTAAGATGCCAAGCTTCTATACTCCCAAATTTCCACAATTTCTATTTTCTCTAACTCCCATGTCCATAAATTAATTAATCGCTAAATTCCCACGTTGCACGATACTTGATTGTATTCTCACGTTTGCAAACTTCTAAATTTGTGAACTCCCACGTTACCAAATTCCACAATTCCTATATTGTCAAATTCCTTGATTCTCAAGTTTAACAACTCCTCAAATCCCAAATTTCTACATTTTTAAATTTCTAAAATATCGAATTCTCAAATTTCCAATTCCCCAATTCCCAATTCTCTAAATTCCCAATTTCCCAATTCCCAATTCTCCAAATACCCCAATTCCCTAATTCCTCAATTCCACAATTCCCCAATTCCCCAATTCCCCAATTCCCCAATTCCCCAATTCTCTAATTCCAAAATTCCCAAATTGCCACCTTCCCACTTCTCTAAAGTCGCAATTCCCCAATTCCCCAATTCCTCAATTTCCAATTTCCAATTTCTAATTTCCTAAATTTCCAAATTCTCCAGTCTCTAAACTCCCAATTCCCAAATTCCCTAAATCCCTAAACTCCCAATTCTACAGTTCTCTAATTCCCCAAATTCCCCGAATCCCTAAACTCCCAATTCTCCAGTTCTCTAATTCCCCAAATTCCCCAAATCCCTATACTCCCAATTCTCCAGTTCTCTAATTCCCCAATTCCATATTTCCCCAATTCAATAATTCCCCAATTCTATAATTTCCCAATTCCATTATTCTCCAATTTCTAACTTCCCCAATTTCTAAACTCCCCAATTTCTAAACTCCCCACTTTCTAATTTCTCCAATTCCTCAATTCCCAATTCCTCAACTCCCAATTCCCCAATTTCCAATCTTAACCTCAAAAATCCCACAATTCCTCAACTAAAGAACGAACGAAATAAATATAAATATAAATAAATATAAACTATCCAAATAATTAACAATATAGCAACGTGACAGTGTACAATGAAGCTGAACATCAATGTAACAGCATACAATGAACTAGAAAGACATACTAAAAATATTAAAAATTACATTAAACATCCATAAGTCCGGTACCAGATCTGAATACCAGTTAGCAAACTCCCCCTATGAAAGAAATATAAACTACCCGAATAATTATCAATCTAGCAACGTGTCAATATACAATAAAGTAAAAAGAATACACACCAAAAATATTAAAAATGTCATCAATGATAAACTAATCCGAGATCTCGAGGACCAGAGCTTCCGTAGTCAGAGCCATCTCCCATGGTAGGAAGCTATATCCCTAGGAGGGAATCCGAGGAAAGAGAAGGGCGGAGGCGCGATATGACGGCGTACATAGACACGGGTTTATCTACCTGACGACCTTGCCGTTCAAAAAATCCTGGAGTGGCCGGCAGGGCCTGGAGCGGGCGGCATGCACCATCCGCGAGCGAGCCAGTTCCGACGTAGAGCGCAGACGACTAACACTAATCCTAATAGAGCTGTCGGTTCGTTTCCGCAGCGACGTGTGTCATCCGAACAATCGTTTTCCATGCTCCTCGTTTCTTCACCGGTTTCGTTCGCCAGTGATCCTACCAGTCGCGGTTAACATGGAAGCGCGGATGTCCTGCCTCATCTTGATGCAGTGTACGTATACATTTTGTCTTTCTGCAAGTTTAATCAAACCTACATTGATTTACTGTATTTCGTTATGAATCTTAGTGAAAGTTTCAGAGCTTTCATAAATCTTGTTTGGTTTTATTGATGTCGTTCATTTAATCGCTGCTGATTTGGACACCATGCTGTTGAACATGGATCACTTTTAACTAAAAGTTAATTGACACTGACATTTAGAATCATTTAGCCCAACCTTGTTTACTTCTCTATTTTTGGGTTAAATAATGTCCTCACTTTTGTGAAATGATATAATAGTATACTGTCAGAGTCACTCTGTATCTTCCATGTGGAGTCATGTATAAATGAAAATCTAGCAGTGGACCTAGCGCTGTTTAACAAAATACCCTAAGAAGGTTGATATATTTGTTGAAGAAAGGTGATACATGACTTAGACAAGTATTAAAAAATCTTGTAGTAGCTCCACAACCTTGGTACATTCAGTACAAACAATTTTCACAAAGGTCAGAAGATGACAATAGCCAAATCATGTGATGAGTCCTCAGTGTACCACATAGCATGTTCTGACCATGAATCGAATATATTCCAGCCAGAACGTTAGAATTACGTTAACGAGATAAGTCAATAGCAGCACCCCTCTATATAACTCTATCAGAAATACGAATTTTAACAAAGTGACTGAAAAATATTCACGGAGCAGTGTGGTCGGTGGTCGTCCACGGCTACGACAACGTGGGGTTCGACGGCTGGTATCAACCGGTTCCGCATCGGCCGGTCGACATCATCACGGACGTTATTAACGACCTAGGCGTGAGGATTCTGCAGCAGTACACGTCCCACGGGAACGTCGCATTCTCTCCGACAGGGGTTGCCTTCGTCCTGGCGGCGCTCTACGAGGGCTCGGCTGGCAGAGGAAGGCAACAGATCGCGGATGCCTTGGGTCTGCCACGCGATCGCGATATCACCAGAATCGGCTTTCGGGACATTCATCGCAGACTTAGGGTAAGCGCAATTTACCACGTAATTTAACTATTGATTTCTCGGTTGATCGCTCTTTGAACGAGTTTCGTAAACGTGTTTATTTGTGAAGACGTATCTGAACGCCAATGGATTCCTCGGGGGTCTCACGCTGAATCAGGAGAATACTAATCTGAGACCGGAGTATGAGGACATATTGAGGTTCTATGGGTTCGATTTGTCCATACCGGAGGATATGAATGATACTACCATTGTACCGGAAACTGAACCCACGGAGAAAAATATTGAAACCGAAACTGTGACGGGTACTGTGCCGAGTACATCGACCACCCCTGTGGAGACCTTGGGGACCATGACTGCTGATGTTCAGAACAGATTTACGCAGACCACTTTGCCTAGTGCCATGGAGAGTACTGTTACTGTGGAATCGACTGGAGCTGGGGAGACTGATGTACCTGAAGTCTCTACGATGTCATCTACAACCATGGCATCTGTGACGTCACCTACAACTGTGCCACCTGTGACGTTATCTACAACCATTGCACCTGCGACGTCACCTACAACTATTACACCTGTGACGCCAATTACAACCATTTCACCTGTGACGTCACCTACAACCATTTCACCTGTGACGTCACCTACAACCATTTCACCTATGACGTCGCCTACGACAATGTCAGCTAGTACAGAGCCTTTCATGACTACTGAGGATGTTCTGTCTACGTTGACTGCAGATGATCAACCTGTTACAACTCAGTCTTCAAGTATGAATACATATTTTGATGAGTTTAGAGGTAATGGTATAGTGTGACTGTAAATTGGAGATGATAGGAAACCATTGGATGTGTGTATAGTTGACATGTATGTAGGTGTTGGTACTAATATAGTGAGATTGTAAATTGTGGATATGATGGGCAAACATATGATGTCATACATAGTTGTCATGCATTTAGGTATTGGTATAGTGTGAGTGTAAATTGTGGAGATGATAGGCAAACATATGATGAGAGTATAGTTGTCATGCATTCAGGTATTGGTACTGGTATAGTGAGATTGTAAATTTTGGATATGATGGGCAAACATATGATGTGACCATAGTTGTCATGCATCTAGGTATTGGTATAGTGTGACTGTAAATTGTGGATATGATTGGCAAATATATGATGAGAGTATAGTTGTCATGCATTCAGGTATTTGTACTGGTATAGTGAGATTGTAAATTGTGGAGATGATGGGCAAACATATGATGTATGTATAGTTGTCATGCATCTAGGTATTGGTATAGTGTGACTGTACATTGTAAAGATGGTAGACAAACATATGATGTTATACATAGTTGTCATACATCTAGGTATTGGTATAGTGTGACTGTAAATTGTGGAGATGATGGGCAAACATATGATGAGAGTATAGTTGTCATGCATTTAGATATTAGTATAGTGTGACTGTAAATTGTGGAGATGATGGGAGAACATGTGATGTGAGTGTAGTTGTCATACATGTAGCTGTTAGTACTGATATAGTGTGGCTGTAAATTGTGAAGATGAAAACAAAGGAAGTATGTATAGTTGCTATACATCTATCTACTGGTATTGCTATAGTGTGGCTGTAAATTGTGAAGATGAAAACATAGGATGTGTGGATAATAATCATGAATCTCCATACTGGTAACGATATAGTGTGGCTGTAAATTGTGAAGATGAAAACAAGGGAAGTATGTATAGCTGCCATACATCTATCTACTAGTATTGCTAAAGTGTGACTGTAAATTGTGGAGATGGAAGCATAGGGTGTGTGGATAATAATCATGAATCTCCATACTGGTAACGATATAGTGTGGCTGTAAATTGTGAAGATGAAAACAAAGGAAGTATGTATAGCTGCCATACATCTATCTACTGGTATTGCTAAAGTGTGACTGTAAATTGTGGAGATGGAAGCATAAGGTGTGTGTATAATAATCATACATTTCCATACTGGTAATGGTATAGTCTGACTGTAAATTGTGAAGATGAACAATTATAGCATAGCATATACTATACAGAACTATACAGAACAGTATAGCATATACAGTTGCTATACATCTACCTATTGGTCTTGGTATAGTGTGGCTGTAAATTATAGAGATGAGAACATAGAGTATGTGTACATATAGTAATCATACATCCACGTACTAGTATTAATATAGTCTAACAGTAAATTAAACATCATGGTAAATATATTATATGTCATCTTACGTGTCATATACTTGTCATCTCTCAAATTTACAACCACACTATATCACCTTCCTCACCCTACTAAAACTTCAATCTCCCTCAGCATCAACCAGTGCATCAACCAGTGCAACAACCAGTGCATTACCTATGGAATCAACCATTCCAACCGATTCTACGATCACTACGGAATCAGGTGTTACTGAACTCCCAGAGTCAACGACCACGTCAACTATCACAGTGCCTACCACAGTTAACGTTATGGAAACCTCGACAAGTTCGACGATCCCAACGCAGACGGGATTACCAGATGTGGATGCAAATACCGTTTCAACGGGCTCCTCGAACAATCAGTCTGTCTCAGACGAGATTGGATCTACCGACTCGCCAATCACGACGATTATCGATACAGGTGAAACCGGGTCGAATGAACAGACCACTGTAGAGTCGACTACGAGCGGCACGATCAATCGAAGGAAACGTAACATCAGAGCCCCCAGGGGATTCTTCTCTAGCTATCCAGGTTTGGAAACTGGCTTCTTAGCATTTTTATTATACTGTCGCGCTGATTGACCGATGTGATGGATCGATGGTATTGGTTGACGAAATTTGGATACTGTTAGGTTGAATATTTAAGTTGGATTGTGGTGATGAATAGTGGAGGTCAATTTTGGGGTCAAGCTGTCTGGTTATGTCTCAAATATATTTTGTCTACGTCATAGACTTATACTCATATAAGATTGTTATCTTGTATATATAGGATTATTGTCTATATGGATTCACATAAGATTGTGATCACATATGTCACATATGTAATTTTGAAAAATTATTTCATGACAGAAAAGTGTCGCAAAATGGCACTTGTGATACATCAAATTAAAGGTTAAACCTTGAGAAAAACGACTGTATCAATATTTTGTTAATACATTTACTATAAATTAACTAGTTCGTTCTTAAGGCAAACCATGACACGACATTGAAAATTGGATATCTGCTAATAAACAATGTTAATGTCAAACCAGTTAATTTATTGTCAATGCTAAAATTATAACGAGTTATGTATATAGTTATCTTTGTTGAACTTCTAGCTTTAAATTCATGTATCATAAGTGCCATTTTGAGTTACTTTTATGTCATGAAATTATATCAGACCTTTTAGCACAAACCTTACTGAATCTGAAGAATGAACCTAAAAAATTTCTCAAATAATAAAATCCTAAAATTGCAGACGAAGGAATCTGGATGCAGGACCTAGGAATCTGGAAGCCCTACTCTTCAAGTCTAAACGAGGCCTCCGTCCGCGACTCAACGGAGATCTCATTTCTGGTGAACGGATGTGACGTCTCCTCGGTCACAGCCAGCAGATACATCGCCGTGTTACCGTTCGCGTATTTCCCATCGCTGCACGCGGTCGCCCTTGAATTTCCCCTGGACGTGAGAATCATTTTTACTGTTCATAACTCTGGTTCGTGGAACGTTTCTAATCTGTCCTTTCAGGATCCCAGGTACAATATCCTGCTAATGATGTCCACGGACAGGAGAGACACGTATCGGTTGGCCAGAGATCTCGGTGGGAAGTCATTAAGGTTGTTGAGGAAACAATTACAAGCTACTTGGGTCAGGGCCACCATTCCGTCCTTCATGTTACGCGGTTTTGTCACCTTGACGTCCTTCCTGCAGAGGGTATGAACTATGTCACACTCTTCAAATAATAAAAACTTAAATTACACAGTTCCATAATTTCCCAATTTCGTAATTTCCCAGTTCCTTAATTTCCCAATTCAATAATTTTTCAATTTTATAATTTTCCAACTTCATAATTTCCCAATTCAATAATTTTCCAATTTCATAATTCACCAATTCCATAATTTCCTAATTCCATAGTTTCCCAATTCCATAGTTTCCCAATTCCATAATTCCCCAATTCCATAATTTCCCAATGCCATAATTACCCAATTCCATAATTCCCCAATTCCATAATTTCCCAATTCCATAACTCCCCTGTTCCATAATTCTCCAATTCCATAATTCCCCAATTCCATAGTTCCCCAACCCAATTCCATAAGTTCCCAAATCCATAATAACCCAATTCCATAATTTCCCAATTCCATAACTCCCCAATTCCATCACTCCCCAATTCCACAATTTCCCAATTCCATAACTCCCCAATTCCATAACTCCCCAATTCCATAACGTCCCAATTCCATAATTCCCCAATTCCATAGTTCCCCAATTCCATATTCCCCCTGTTCCATAATTCTCCAATTCCATAATTCCCCAATTCCACAATTTCCCAATTCCATAACGTCCCAATTCCATAATTCCCCAATTCCACAATTTCCCAATTCCATAACTCCCCAATTCCATAATTCCCCAATTCCATAGTTCCCCAATTCCATATTCCCCCTGTTCCATAATTCTCCAATTCCATAATTCCCCAATTCCTAAACTCCCCAATTCACAATTTCCCAATTCCATAATCCCCCTATTCCATAATACCCCAATTCCATAATTCCCCAATTCCTAAATTTCCCAATTCCATAATTCCCCAATTCCTAAATTTCCCAATTCCATAAATCCCCAATTCTACATCTCCCCAATTCCATTATTCCCCAATTTCCCAATTCCTCAATTCCCCAATTCCCAATTCCCCAATTCCCAATTCCTCAACTCCCAATTCCCCAATTTCCAATCTTAACCTCAAAAATCCCACAATTCCTCACCTAAGAAACGAACCACTATCCCATCATCTAAACTAAAAAAACTTTTTCTGTAAAAATTTCTGAATATATCTAGAGTCAAAGAATTTCGATGCAAAACCTAAGAAAACCTAGCGTAACCTAACGAAGGGTTAATTAAGGTATCCAGAATGTTTACCAGCGGATTTCAACGGCAGAGTAAGAACAGTATCATTCAGGCCTAACCAAACGTTTCCCCGTGCAGGTTGCTCGATATTTTGCCATTAGTCTCGGACATTAAACTCCTAATTACTTAATCGCGTTAGTCGAGATCTTGAGTGCGCTTTCCGCTTCTCAGCCATGGTTGCCTTCCACGAACCATGTTATCGGTACACGTGGCCTTCTCGACGACACGTAATTGACGATAATTCGAAACAAACGCCACCGGGAGGGGAGGGCTGAACGCGAAAAATGAGAATTGCCTAATGGTCGTAATTCAGAGATAGGTACCATTGCCGTCAGTTTTATGGCCGTTGCCGGACGTTTTTCTACGTAATGAGCATTCCTCGGACTGTTTAGCGTCGTTTATTCTTCCGACGTTTTACCGAGATGGTACGTCACTACTTCTGGTTGATTTCAAATATTCTGAGGCGAGGGTTTTGTAATAGTGAGTTCTGGGATTTGGGGTTTGGGGTTTGGGGGATCTGGGGATTTTAGGATTGGGAAGTTTGAGAATTTGGGGATTTAGGGATTTGGAGAATTGGAGAATTGGAGATTTGGAAATTTGGGGATTTGGGGATTTGGGTTTTGGGGATTTGGGTTTTGGGGATTTGGGTTTTGGGGATTTGGGTTTTGGGGATTTGGGTTTTGGGGATTTGGGTTTTGGGGATTTGGGTTTTGGGGATTTGGGTTTTGGGGATTTGGGTTTTGGGGATTTGGGTTTTGGGGATTTGGGTTTTGGGGATTTGGGTTTTGGGGATTTGGGTTTTGGGGATTTGGGTTTTGGGGATTTGGGTTTTGGGGATTTGGGTTTTGGGGATTTGGGTTTTGGGGATTTGGGTTTTGGGGATTTGGGTTTTGGGGATTTGGGTTTTGGGGATTTGGGTTTTGGGGATTTGGGTTTTGGGGATTTGGGTTTTGGGGATTTGGGTTTTGGGGATTTGGGTTTTGGGGATTTGGGTTTTGGGGATTTGGGTTTTGGGGATTTGGGTTTTGGGGATTTGGGTTTTGGGGATTTGGGTTTTGGGGATTTGGGTTTTGGGGATTTGGGTTTTGGGGATTTGGGTTTTGGGGATTTGGGGATTTGGGGATTTGGGAATTTGGGGATTTCGGGATATGGGGATTTGGAGATTTGGGGATTTAGACATTTAAGAGGATTTGGGGTTTCAGGGATTTGGGTTTTGGGAATTTGGGGATTTGGGAATTTGAGAATTTGGGAATTTGGGGTTTGAGGGTTTGATTTGGGGATATGGGGATTTGGAGATTTGGGGATTTAGACATTTAAGAGGATTTGGGGATTTGGGGATTTGGGTTTTGAGAATTTGGGGATTTGGGAATTTGAGAATTTGGGAATTTGGGGATTCGGGGATTTGGGAATTTGAGGATTTAGGGATTTGGTGATTTGGAGATTCATAGATTTGGAGACTTAGAGATTTGGAGATTTAGAGATTTGGGGAATTATAGACTTGGATATTTATAGACTTGGTGATTTATACATTTGGAGATTTAGTGATTTGGGGAATTATAGACTTGGAAATTTATAGACTTGGAGATTTAGAGATTTGGGGAATTATAGACTTGGAGATTTATAGATTTGGGGAATTATAGACTTGGAGATTTATAGATTTGGTGATTTATACATTTGGAGATTTAGAGATTTGGAGATTTATACATTTGGAGATGTAGAGATTTGGACATTTGAGGATTTGGAAACGTAGGAACTTGGTAATTTAAGGTTACAGGGACTTAGAGATTGGAGCATTTGGAGATTTGAAGATTTGACGGTCTGTAAACTTGAAGATTAGAAGATTTCAGAATTTACAAATGTGTGAATATGGACATTTATTAATTTTTGAACTAAAAAATTTGAAAATCTATATATCTAGAGATTTTAGTATCTGTTAACCTACTGACTTCAAGATCTAAAGATAGTCAACCATAAATACTTAAAACTCCTAAGACTTGTTGACTTATTACTTCAAGTTCAGAGTTCTCAAAACTTGAATACCCTTTCATACTCAAAATCTTGTAATTTTAAGTAAACTCAAATAAATTTGAAAGTAAACTTAAAAAAATTCAGTATAACGTAACTATCCCTCTACCAATGCACTCAATACAATAACAAACTATAATATATTTGTTACAGCTGGGTATCTTGGACGTCTTCGAGCCCCGAGCCGCCGACCTGTCACCAATGACCCCAGATCTCGGCGTCTACGCAAGAGACGTCCAGCAAAGCATCGGCGTCAACATCAGAAATTATATGAAACCCGATAGGACCCACTCTCGTGAGTCGCCCAATTCCAATCTCCGCTTCATTCCACTACGTCGGGACTATTACCGATACTATCATCCAGGTTTCTGTTCTCTATTCTCTACGTACTGCACTTCGTCCTCTCCTTTAAACTTCGAACTCCATAGTCATCAAAATGGCTGAGAAGTTGCTTTAGACCGCCATCTTAACTTCCACTCATCTCTCCTTATCCCCAATCGAGTTTGCCGAAGTTTCTCAATTTTAATGCAACTTTTTGAACCTGCTTAATCCACCAATCATGAAGCACGAGCTCGAGGAGGAAACGATAAGAGGATATCTTGAATTACCGAGAGAGGAAGGAACGACTTTCGATAAAACGTTCAATCATATCATTAACGTGATGCAACCTTTGCAACACTGCAATTTCTTTACAAATTACCATTTCTTATTGGTAAAATTGATATTTTTTAAAATGAGAACTTTTTTAGAGGATTATACTAATTTTTGAGTTTTAGTGGGATTTGGAAGTTCGTTCGATTTTATGCAATTTATTTATTTTTTTGGTTATGTTTCGATTTGAGGTTATGTTTGATGTTGGTATTTTTATGTGAACATGTGTGACAATATTTTGATTTTTATAGATGCATATAAAAATTGATTTTTATGTGAATAATGCTGTATATCAGTATTTTGATTTTTAGACAAACATGTTGTATGACAAGTTGATTTTTAGACAAATATGTTGCAAGTCAATTTGATTTGTAGACAGACATGATGTATGTTAATTTGATTTTTAGACAAACATGTTGTATGTCAATTTGATTTTTAGACAAATATGTTGTATGTCAAATTAATTTGTAGACAGACATGATGTATGTTAATTTGATTTTTAGACAAACATGTTGCAAGTCAATTTGATTTGTAGACAAACATGTTGCAAGACAATTTGATTTTTAGACAAATATGTTGCAAGTCAATTTGATTTTTAAACAAACATGTTATATGTTAATTTAATTTGTAGACAAACATGTTACATGTTAATTTAATTTGTAGACAAACATGTTATATGTTAATTTAATTTGTAGACAAACATGTTGCAAGTCAATTTGATTTTTAGACAAACATGTTGCAAGTCAATTTAATTTGTAGACAAACATGACGTATGTTAATTTAATTTGTAAACAAACATGTTGTAAGTCAATTTGACTTTTATATTTTTATTTTTTATCATACATCAACATCTTGATTTTTAAACAAACATGTTTTATGTTGATTTAATTTGTAGACAAACATATTGTAAGTCAATTTGATTTTTATATTTTTATTTTTTATCATACATCAACATCTTGATTTTTAAACAAACATGCTTTATGTTGATTTAATTTGTAGACAAACACATTGTAAGTCAATTTGACTGTTATATTTTTATTTTTTATCATACATCAACATCTTGATTTTTTAACAAACATGTTTTATGTTGATTTAATTTGTAGACAAACATGTTGTAAGTCAATTTGATTTTTATATTTTCATTTTTTATCATACATCAACATCTTGATTTTTGAACAAACATGTCTTATGTCAATTTATTTTGTAGACAAACATGTCGTAAGTCAACTTGACTTTTACATTTTTATTTTTTATCAAACATCAACATCTTGATTTTTAAACAAACATGTAGTAAGTCAATTTGATTTTTACATTTTTATTTTTGATCACGTGTCAACATCTTACTTTTTGAACAAATAATTTGCACATTAATATTTTAAATTTTAAACCAACATGTCGACATCTTGACTCCGGTGAAACAAAATGGAGATCGACATTCGAGGCTTAACGTCCGTTTAATCAGTGTCAGTTGCATAATGAAAGAGTCTTCAATCGATAAATGTCGAATGGTTCCCCATTGCTCAAAGAGCCGTTGTTTCCGTTTTATTGTAACGAACGATCGGGAATATTCTCAGTATTGTTATAAAGTTAGCTGGATTTAATCGCTGATATCCGCCGCCTGACTCACACCAAGGGGAAATAAATAAAAAGACCTTGCGGTTACTTTACTAGGAATTTCTAAATCGTTGTCGCAAATGCCAGCCATAAAGTTATGGTTCCCATTTCTGTATTCTATTACCACTCTAATTTTATTTAAGGGGGCCAATACCTTTAGACAGATAAAAATAAGCTGATATGTGTGAATTTTTTTTGTATAGAACACCTTTGTTTTGCATTTTCGAAATTTCAGGTATAATTTATTATAACTATCGCCTGTTACAGAATATTTTCTGTTTTGCAAAATATTTCAAAATGCTGGAATTATGACAATCCTTTCTGGAAGTGTTTTGGCGTGTCTCGTGAATCGGCGTGGATTCTAGCTTTAGATATATTGGTCTGAAGCAAGTTTGCAGACAATGTTTCGAAAACTAACATTCACAGTTAGATGAACCTCAGAAACGTGCAAAATATGTAAAATTGAAGAAATGGCTTTTAAAGAAAAACTTTGAATTTTATTGAAAATTTTTGCAATGTTTTGCAATAAAAAGGACTTTAATGTTCAATTTATTTCATACATTTAGGTTCGTATGTTAGATAGTATTGTCATGGATATGTGCAAAAAATTTGAGCGCGATTGATAAACTAGTTTTTGAGTTATCAGCCACGGCAATTTTAAGAACGTAGTTTTGAGAAAAACGCGTTTGAAGTTTCAGTCCTCCGCACTGAACGCGTGTATACCCGCGGCGCTAATCGGCCATAACTTCAAAAGGGCTTCGTATTTCACTTGAAAATTTTGAGACAATATTTTTAAGATATTACACTAACATTTAATAGAAAAAAAAATTTTGTAATTTTTTAAGATTCTAAAGGTATTGCCCCTTAATCTCTTTCCTCATCCAAAACTTTCCAATTTCCAATTAAATTAAAAAACCCAATCTGCACTAGAATTTTATAAAACCTCGATATCTTGATAAAACCTTTTAAATGAATTTTCTTTCGCAGGTAATGGATTATTCGAAAGAGCCGGGCCAGTGCCATTCACGGTCGTCCAACCGTACCTTTACTTCATCATCGATGCTGAAACATCAGTGACTTTGATCGCTGGCCGAGTTAACGATCCGCTCAATTCACGGATACTTTAGAAAACGTTGCGCTGTTTAAAGGAGGACGGAATTTCATAGTAGTAATAATAAACATATGTTTATTTGACATACTTATAAATATCGTTATAATCTATAAACAATTATATATATAATATTTAGACGAGTTTTTCTAATTCGCACACACCTACCTTTAAGTATTACGATGTATATCTGTACAAGGATTCGCAAGTTGTAAATAAAAGAAAGACGGACAGACAGACAGAGACGAAGGTAAAGGGATTTTAATTTAATTGATACTAGATGGGCAAGAATTTAGCATTTACAGGCTTCGCTATACACAAGGGGAGCTTGCTGCTGAAAATGTCTGCTCTTTTTGTACAGTAGACTTTTGTTATATTGCATCGCGTTGTATGGTCATTTTTACGATTTATATTTTTTGTATGTTAAATTTTTCACGCGTTAGGTTTTTCACATATTAGATTTTCTACGCGTTAGATTTTCCACGCATTAGATTTTCCACGCGTTAGATTTTTCACATATTAGATTTTCCACGCGTTACATTTTTTACGCATTAAATTTTCCACGTGTTAGATTTTTCACATATTAGATTTTCCACGCGTTACATTTTTTACGCATTCGATTTTCCACGTGCTAGATTTTTCACATATTAGATTTTCCACGTGTTAGATTTTTCACATATTAGATTTTCCATGCGTTAGATTTTCTACGCATTAGATTTTCTACACATTCCATATATCAGATTTTCCACGCGTTAAATTTTTCACATATTAGATTTTCCACGCGTTACATTTTTCACGCATTAAATTTTCCACGTGTTAGATTTTTCACATATTAGATTTTCCACGCGTTACATTTTTTACGCATTAAATTTTCCACGTGTTAGATTTTTCACATATTAGATTTTCCACGCGTTACATTTTTTACGCATTAGATTTTCCACGTGCTAGATTTTTCACATATTAGATTTTCCACGCGTTAGACTTTTCACATATTAAATTTTCCACGCGTTAGATTTTTTGCATATTACATTTTCCACTCGTTAGATTTTCTACGCATTAAAGTTTCCATGTATCAGATTTTCCACGCATTAGATTTTTCACATATTAGGTTTTCCACGCTTTAGACTTTTCACGCGTTAGATTTTTCACATGTTAGGTTTTCCACGCGTTACATTTTTCACGTATTAGATTTTCTACACGTTAGATTTCCCAAGCATTAGATTTTTCACATATTAGATTTTCACGCGTTACATTTTTCACGTACCATATTTTTCACACAATAGATTTGTCTCGTATTAAATTTTTCATGAGATAGATTTTCTGAGAGTTAGATTTTCCATACATAATATTTTGCATAAAATGTACCACTTGTCAGATTTTCTACATATTAGGTTTTCCTCGAATTACATTACCTATTACATTGTCACATACCTTGTTACCAGACATTAAATTGTCCACCTCCTATTTTCCTCATCTCCGACATTCCACACATTAGACATCCTCTCGTTATATTGCCACATGCAACACTCTCCACACACCCCATCCTCCATAACATTCTCCATCACATCTGTACACATAGTACATCCAAACATTCTTCCCTTCCACGCGTTTCAAATAAAACTCGTATTGTCTCGCATTAAATGGCCACGCGTTACATAGCATACCTCGCTACGTTACACCTCAACGCGTTGTGTATGTTAATTACCGTTATCGAAGCATCGCCATACTTCTACCCGTTGTATGTAAATTCGATTGTTGTATTGTCACGCGTTGTACGTAAATTCGATCGTTGTATTGTCACGTGTTACACGTAAATTCAATTGTAGCATTGTCACGTTATACCAAATCGTATATCAAAAGCTCAGATATAACAAGAGTCTACTGTACGCGTTCTAAAAAATAATTTCTCAAAGGCCTTTTCAACGTCAAGCTGGCAACTCTTTTTCATATACACAGGACAGAAGCTGATACAACGTAGCTCGATCCATTTGACGAGAAATATATTATTATCTTATTTATATGTATATATATATAAATACAATTCTTGCGAGTTTCTTCGTTTTGACGACTTTATCGGTCTCGTACGTGAAACCTTCCACAGTCTCGCGTAATCCGTTCGATTCGCTTCGCAATTGAAGCGACAGTCTTCAAAGACGGAAGTTTCTCAAACTTCTATCCGACACGCGTTCTCCCATGCACATTTTATTTGTCTCGAAATAAAATCACGTGGCAAGGAAGCGTTTCGAGTCTCGTGTTCTCTTGCGGGGATTCGACAGGTGTCGAAATGAAAATTTCACGTAGGTATATTTGGCAGTGATTTGTTCCACGTTGAGTAAATCATCGAAGCAATCGACACCCGCAGAGCAACGGACGAACGTTAAGCTGTCAACATCCCGTGATAAATGGTGGGCGACAACGTGAACGGGTCAAGTGACGTTCTTCAGAATCCACGGGACGAACTTCGAGATCCTCGTGCACACGCCTGGCAAGTTGGCCTCCGCGCAACCGATTCCCCAGGATATTATGCCGGCCAGAAAGTAGCGACCGTCTTTTCCCCTCACTTGAAGAGGACCGCCCGAGTCGCCCTGAAGCACGCAGTAAAGTCTCCTTATTATTCCAGGCCTTTTGACAGACTTCAATCGCAAATTAGAGTAGGGTTTAGTTAGTTAAAATAGTTTAAAAATGACTTTGAAAGCAAATAAAAAATCTTAATGTGGAATAAAGATGCTTTAATAGTGGGTGGAGGTACGATACGAGGAGATATAGCGCGTGGAGATACGATGTGGTGAGATATAGCGCGTGGAGGTACGACGCGAGGAGATACAGCGAGTGGAGATACGACGCGAGAAGATGCAGAGCGTGGGAGTACGATGCGTAGAATTACAGCGCGTGGGAGTACGACACGTGGAATTACTACGCGTTGAATTAGGGTGCGTGGAGTTACGACGCGTGGAATTACGGCGCGTGAGAGTACGACGCGTGGGAGTACGACGCGAGGAGATACAGCGCATGGGAGTACGACGCGTGGAATTACGGCGCGTGGGAGTACGACGCGTGGAATTACAGCGCGTGGCAGTACAACGCGTGGAATTACTACGCATGGAATTACGGCGCATGGAATTACAACGCGTGGAAGTACGAAGCGTGGAATTACTACGCGTGGAATTATGGCGCGTGGGAGTACGACGCGTGGGAGTACGACGCGTGGAATTACGGCGCGTGGAAGTACGAAGCGTGGAATTACTACGCGTGGAATTATGGCG